CAAATAAAGAAGACATTTCCTCGTCCTATGCGTCTCCACCGTCAAATCCACTTTTTCGTCCCACCCTTTCCTGTTAAGAAAAGGGTGGAAAGGGAAAGGGACTAAAATTAGGCCTCCGGCACCACACTCATCAGACGAAACACGGAATTGCTTCCACTTCACGCCAGTTTTCTGTGTGGTCGTGGTATTATACCGGGTGCGCCGAACCATTCGTGCGAAGATGTTAAAGCGGGCTCTACCACTGTTAAATAATATTACCTATTACACTGTTATAATATGTACCGAAATCAGTAAATTTGTGTGCAATTTGCGGTCGCAATTCAAACTGGACAAAGCAAACGTTAGTAAAGTTATAATTTCTCAAAGTATTTTAATCGAACAGGTGTTGTATTAAGTACATAAAAGTTTGTAGTAACAGCGAGCGTGTGATTAAAATGACGTGGCAAGTTCGAAGCGCAAGATGTACTATGAATATTCTATCCCCTCGGGAGCGTATCGCATACGAAACTTTAAAGCATTATCTTAGTAACTTATATGCGTTACATTGCACTTCCATTTTACATGTATGATAATATCATAAATTCAAAACTTTACTATTTAACAAGACATGTTCAAACGAACACTTCTTGTAAACAGAGGTAGAGCCCGCTTTAACATCTTCGCACGAATAGGCTGGCTCGCCCGGTGCACTACCACGACCATACAGAAGACAGTCGTGAAATTGAAGCAAGTTTTTTTTACAATGTTTATTTTTTAAGTCCGCGTTTCGACTGATGAGTGTGGTTTCGGGCTCCTAATATACTAACCCTTTCCACCCTTTTCTTATTAGGAAAGGTTAGAAAGGGAAAGTGGGTGGAAATATGACGGTGGCGGAGACACATGGGAAGGGGAAATATCCTCTTGCGTTGACTACAGGTAGGCAACGCATCTGCGCTTTCGGATGTCTATGGGCAGCGGTCGCTTCACCATTTTGGCCAATTCAGGTCGCCGCTTGCCCGTTTAGCACCTGATGTTATAAAAAAAATAAAGAAAAAAAAAACGCAAATACAATTACTCTTAGCTAGATGTAGCTCGCAATTTCGTTTGCATGAAACCAAAAAATAATAAAACAAGTAGCCCTTGCTACTCACTGATAACGTAGCTTCTTAATGGTGAAAGATGTTTTTAAAACCCTTTAAAAGTTTTTGAGTTATTTCAATACATATAAAAATACAAATCTATCCTCCTTATAATGTTTGTATAGACTACTATATTTAATTATTGTAACTGCAATTTTAGTTAAATTAAAAATGTTAATTTAATTGTGCATTTTCTTACAAAGTATGGGGTTCAGTCAGTTGTAAACATGACTCACAAAAGATCTCTTTGATAACTAACCCTCGTAACACCCTCGTGCTTTCTCAACATAAATAGAGAGAAAACTTTCTAAATAATTATAATGTGTACCGGTGAGTGTGTGTGTGTATCGTCGAGTGCACTTGGTAGTAATGAAGCCCTAAGCAAAGAGGTCCTTGGAATAGTTTAAAAGAATTTAACACCTCCTTGTACAAACGAAACTCTTTGAGAATTCTCGTCCCATTTAGAATCTAATAACGTAAACTGTCACCATAATTTACCACGTATGTGCCATAACCGAAATAAATACAAAGAAATATCGTCGACTATTCATTATTTTAAAAAACATTATATTGATATTAATGTTAACGTCAGGAAAACTTGTCAATATTGTACAAAATATTAGATGTTTAAAACGAAAAATCTTTACATAATCAACTCATATTAAACTGAAGTAGTAGAATTTAAAATTAATTTAAACTAAAATAGTGTTATGCACATATTTTGTACTGTTTGTTTTTCTCCATAAAAAGAGCAGATTTATAAAGTGACTTACGTTATGTCACGGAGAGAACGACAACAGAAAAATGTACTGAACAATTGTTTTAAAACAATGGATGCGGAAACCGTGCCATCGTTGAAAGGATTGCCTTCTGTATGGAAGTTACAGAATGTATGGGTGACCAATACGAAGAATATCAAAAGAAATTCACAGAACATTTCTAATCAAAACAATCATACTATTCTACATATTATAAAAAAGCATAAGCATCATAGCTACAATACACTAAGAAAACTGTTTAAAATCTAGAAGAAATATAAATCCCGACAGACACTTTAGGGAATAACAAACATAGAATGACTCACACTTCTAATTGGTCAAAGTTTTATCCTCTCAGCGTTTATAGCAAAGCGATGTCTATACGTTTAGATACTCGTGGAAAACATTTATAAATCTATACTAATATTATAAAGAGGAAAGATTTGTATTTTTGTATGTATTCGATGAAGGTAAAAACAACTGAAACGATTTTAAAAATTTATTCACCTGTAAAAAGGTAATTTATCTGTGAGTGACATTGACTATGTTTTTTGTATTGTTTTTTTTTTTATTTCGCGCGGGCGAAGTTGCCAGCAACAGCTGGCCATATTCTTAAAAGAAGAAAATATTCTGTAACTAATACTGATACAAAAACCCCCATTAAAAAAATAAAACACCAACACCGTTTTACTTCACTGCCTTTTAAAGTGACACACATTTCCCTTATCGTCAACGTAAAAGCGCGATCTCAAAACATGGAAACTTCAATGCGACGCTAAAACACTGTGTTTCTACAAAGAAATGTTATGACATCGAAACAAGCTACTAACGATTTCAATAAACCTCTTAAATCAATGAAAGAGAGAAAGTTAATATGAAAAAGGTTGGATAGTAGCAAATTGTAATATTAAAGCCACAGTGGTAGAACCCGCTTTAACATCACACGAATGGGCCGGCTCGCTCGGTGTAATACCATGACCACACAGAAGCCAGACGTAAATTGGGAGCAATTCTGCGTTTCGTATTATGAGTGTGGTGCAGGAGGCCTAATTGTAGTCTCTTTCCCTTTCCAGCCTTTTTCTTAAGAGGAAGAGATGGGAAGTAAAAGAGGATTTGACGGTGGAGGATATACACAGAAAGGAGAAATATCCTATTGTTTCGGCTGCGTGACGCTAGGCAACACCTAAAAGGCGCTGCCCACCGCTGCCTTGGACAAGCTCCCAATTGGGTGACCGGTGGTATAAAACAAAGGGAGGACCTTATCTTGTACCTTGCGGTACGCGACTCGGACCCCACCCTGCGCCGGTAACACCGGTCGATGACCCGTAGAAAAGTAGCCAAAATGGCCGCTACTACCAACAACGGGAAAAACGTCTCCCAAGAAAAACACTTTGTAAGCGTGAAATTCCTCGGGGTGAGTCTAACACGTGTGGTCTCGACGAAGGCTGAATTGCGACTTATTTTTAACCGTTCGTTTTGTTATTGCCCTTTAAACAATCTTTTGTCCGTGCTTTTAAGTGATATCATAAAACATTTTAATTTCGCATTGGAATTCGTTGACTGAACCTTTTCTCACGACGGTTTATACATATTCGTCGCCAACACCTATAATAGAAATATAAGAGCCATGCCTACGCAACACATCTGCAGTTGCGGATATCTATAGACAACAGTCACTTCGTCATTTCGGCAGATTCAAGTGACCGCTTGCTTGTTTGCCACATTGTGATACAAAACAAAAACACCTGATAGTGATGTACAGATGGTTAGTACTGTAGCTCCGTAGGAAAAAACAGGTTGTCGATGCTCTTTCCATTGCTATGTTATTCAATTAAATTAAGATTCAAGTCGGAAACGAAGTTTTATATATTTTTTATACAGAAAAGAATAATGTTGCGTTGTACATTGCTAGACCGGAATCGCTGGTCTACAACCTAATACATTATGTATGCGTTTTATTATCTCGTGTAATTAAAATCATTGATATCTTATCTGGATATTTTGACTTCGTTTTATTTCGTTTTTTGTAACGCCGCTGCATAATTGCAAAACAGCTTGGTTGTTTCGTTTTTTTTTTTAAATAGTATACTTTGTATCTATCTATACTCTATCTATCTATACTAACATTATAAAGAGGAAAAATTTGTATTTTTATATGTATTGAAATAACGTGGTGAGGAAATTCAAATATATGTGTGAAGTCAACCAACCCGCAGTGGGCCAGCGTGGTTGAGCCAGCATAGTCACTCTAAATTAGGGTAGACTCCGAACCCCTCGATGGGTATGGTGAGCTGGTGATGATTGAAATAACTTAAAAACTACTGGACCAATTTCAAAAATTCTTTCACCATTAAATAGCTACGTTTTCAGTGAGTACATTATTTAATTTTACGTGGGTGAAATCACTAGCAACAGCTGGTATAAAGGTTGCTTTAATAATAAATACTTCATTTTCCTCTGTTACTCAGAGTTCCTTAAGTTCACTAAATGAGACACTTAGCGTAATACTATAAGGATTATAAATCTAATCATATAACATTAGTTTTCATGTGTGTGGAATGTTTTTGCGCGAATGTTTTGGCAGTTAAGGTCACATTTAAAAATTACTGCTGACATCACCTTTTTAATTATTTTTTAAAATGAAGGAGAATCTTCAGTTGAATGTATTCCACATATATTTCAGTAAAACGTCTCGAAACTCTCATAAATCGAAATAGAAGTACGAAATCGATGTGAAAACAGCATACATATTTTATCCTGCGAAGAGATGTTGCTTTGGAAGGAAATATCATCTGTCTTCGCTGGTGCCAAGTGCATCTGTTTCATACAAAATTCAACAGTTTCCACTAGCATTCGATAGCCTTTCAACTTGTTAGTACAATCAAGCTTGCAAGAAACATCCCTTTAAATTATGTTATACAAGCTTTCGTCAGCGACTCCGTCGGCGTGTAATTAAAAAACAAAAGTATGTTTTCTTCCAGAATATGTTCTACATCTATGCTAAATTTCTACGAGATCCCGTCAGTTGTTTAGGTTACAAACTCTAATAAACATCCATCCATCCAAACTTTCGCATTTATAACATAAGTACTATTTTAGAAATTTTCTAGTAAAATAATATTAACGATTTTATGGAACAAAACATTTATACGTTTACAAAATTAATAAACAAATGATAATAAATGTGACCTCAGCTCAACTTTTTTTTATCATTTTTAATTAAATTAATAGAACTTCATTATTACTATACTTGTGTCATCATAACTCTAGCGGAACCGTATATAATTAATTTATTATAATATTGTTACATTTATAAGGTACTAGCTGTTACCGTGCGGCTACATCCGCGTGAAATTATAAAAAAAAATTTTTTTGTTTACATTTGTCACATTGTCAATAGCAAATGTCAAAATGACATGACATGACAAACCTTAGCAATCTTTCTTCATGTTGGCAGCAACGTATGGTCATTTTTCCTCATTAGGGTTTATATCCAAAATATTTACCCCCTAAGTTTAATAGCGTGAAAATATGTAGCCTAAAGCATGACGTAAGTGTAGTGGCTTTTTATTAAAAAAAAGGATTATTCAAAAATATGCTGCATTTGCTGACATCTTAGGCAACAAAGAAGTGTCTTTACGCTTTATTATATTAGTATATACTAGGCTTTACACTCGTCTTCGTTCGTGAGTAATTAAACCAAAAAAAACTTATTAATAGCCTATGTGTTCTTCCAGACGTACATTGAGATTTTTAGTGAGTTAGACATTTTAGAGATCCAACTTCCAACCATCCATAGACACATTCGAATTTTAAAATTAACTATGAAGTATAATTTCCTAATGGTCTTGTCTTCTATAATGAACTTGAAGATGGTACCTCTGATTGTCTATCTCAATGAAATGTTAAATCACTATCTACATAATAATTTAATTTAGCGATTCAACCTTCTGCATTAATAGATAGGACAACAAGATGAAAACTTATTTGCCTGCTATTAATACTGCTAGATAGGCATTCAAAATAGCAGATACGTTGTCTACCCTTGATTTACGGAACAGGAGATTCACATAAAGAGAATGTTTCTATCTTCCTATGCGTCTTCTACACCGTTCCACGTACTCCACGTTCCCTTTCCATCTTTTTCTTATAAGAAAAAGGGGAAGAATAGTAACTGATGTTAGGAAGGTACATTTTGGTGCATCCTATAGACTGTAAACATCTCCATATAAATCCTCATAAGTTACGAGAGTTTTTTTTTATGCTAGTTTCGTATTCGTCGTTAATTGTATTATTAAAATCTGACCTCGTCAAAAAAAGGTTCACAAGCGTGCTCACTAAAATATCATAGGTATAAAATCACCTAATTCGACCCAAGTTATGCCAGTGTATATTTCATTTTCGTATCAAAAGGTCCTTTAAAATTAATTATAATGAAGACATTTTTATTTGCTTTTCTAACATTCTTATTAACGGGAGCTAACGGTGCTGTGGGTAAGTTGAATAGACAAGTTACTTAATCATAACTTAATACTTGATGTATATTATATTATTGAAAAATTATTATGTGACTAATAATTTGAATTCTAAACATTCTAATGTTAGGTATGAATATTAAAACTCACGACTAAATTATGTAGATATTCCAACAGACAAAACCAGTTTGTGAAATATTTTGGAATACAATTTTTGAGAGCTTCGTGTTCTTTATATCCATTTTATATTTTTCCAGCGCCATTTATAAAGCCATGCACGCTTACTGATAGTAAATGCCTAACATCCAGTGCTACGGCAGCGGTACCTTTTATTGCACCGGGCGTACCAGCCCTTGGCATCCCTTCTAGTGACCCATTGCACATAAAGAAAACGAATTCCGACCAGGGTGACATGAAACTTACCTTCAACGATCTAAATATATATGGATTGAGTCAGTGTGTGTTCAAGACTGTAGAGTAAGTATTGTTTTTTTAATAACTGATGACGTCACAAACTGATCATTCATATTTTCATTTTATATCTTACTAATATTAAAAATGCGAAAGTTTAGATGGATGGATGTTTGTTAGCGTTTGTAGCCTAAACGGCTGAACGGATATCCATGAACTTTGGCACAGGTTTAGAGCATAGTCTGGAAGAACATATAGGCTACTTTTTATCCCTGGAATAGTTAAGGTTCCCGTGGGATTCATTAATTTAGTTTCATTATCATTCTGCAACGGTTCAACATATCTTATTGAAATTTGGCACAGATATAAAACAAAGTCTGGAGTACAGATGGGATAAGCTTCATCCCCGAGAAATGTCCGGTTCCCGAGGGATTTTGTAATTTATATAGTTTGTATGTTTTATAATACCACGCGTACGAAGTCGCGGGCAACAGCTCGTCATAAAATATTTGTAAAATTATAGGTTTATTCCTTTTAATCCTTCTGTTTTTTCTTCTTTTCTGTAACACTAATATTGTCTTAGAAATTTTATGTTGAGTAATTTTTACAGAATTGATGATGCGAAATCAAATTTACATATAGACTTAGAATGTCCTCTTTATGCTAACGGTACCTATAAATTGGGCGGGAAGATCCTCATTATCCCCGCCGAAGGAGAAGGAAACTTTGAAATAAAAACAGGTAAATTTATGAATCTGTTTGATTAAAATTTATATACCTTATTCTTTGCCTGGACATCAGCAGAAGCATTGTTAAAACAATCAACGTAGAAAAATGCTAATCGAAGAATACTTTACTAGTAACTGTCAAACACTTTTAGTTATTGTTTTCTAAAAAAAGTAGCTCTATTTAATAACTTGTATAATTTCAGATAAAGTTGGGTTTACTATCGATGTTAAATATAAAACAATCACAGATGACAAAGGAGACAAGCATTGGAAGATCACAGGCTACGATTACAAATATGATCTAATCAACAAAGTGTATTTTATGCTTCATAATCTATTCGGTGGTGATGCTACCAGAGGTGGGTAGATTTAATATTAAAGAAATAACAAGACTGTAATATGAAAGACAGATTTAAAGAAAATGAACAAAGTAAACATTATAAAGGTTACAAAATACAAGGAATAAGACGCAGGAGATTCTAGCTCCTTAAGAATCTCAATAAGAGTGTATTTGATTATTACTTAAATTTATTACTGATTTTTTGTCCACAGCCAAGCCTGTTCTGGATCTGATCGATCACAGCTGGAAAGAGTTAATAACAGAATTAGGAGCACCTATCATCAAAGACATTGTTAAAGACGCTGTTGGCCGTGTGAAGAAATTCTTCTTGGCAGTACCTCTTTCGGAGCTCGCGCAATTATGATTTTATAAAGAACTAGCGTTCGCACCTAGAGCATTAACGGATAAATAATAAAACACTAATAACATCCAACTGCACTTGAAAGTTAGACAAAATTATACGTTATTAATAAATTTATGTAATCAAAATAATTAATTCAGATTTACTACAAGTTTTAAAAATTTATTTCAACTTGAGAATAATAAAAAGCATTTTATTAAAAATTGAAAATTTGAATAGTTCACACTGGAAGAGAGTGGACTTTCCCCATGCTAACTGATATCATACTGTTTTTCCTTGCGGAGACTTGGCACATCAAGTTCTTCTCTTCCATATCTGAATTCCATATCTGAAATTTTAACAGTGGTAGTGCCCGCTTTAACATCGTAGCACTGCAGGGCCGGCACGCCCGGTGTAATACCACGACCACACTTCTGTGTGGTCGTGGTATTACACCATTATTATCACGTGTCATCTGACAAGCGTGAAATGGGAGCAATTCCGTGTTTCGTCTGATGAGTGTGGTGCCGGAGGCTTAATTTAAGTCCCTTTCTCTTTACCACCCTTTTCTTATATGGAGAGGTTGGAAAGAGGAAGTGGATTTGACGGTGGAGGAGATGCGTAGGAAGGGGGAAATATCCTCTTTATGTGCGTCTCCTCCTCCGTCGTATAAGGGTAGGCAACGCATCTGCAATTGCAGATGTCCATGGGCAGCGGTCTCTTCGCCATTTTGGCGGATTCAGGTGGCCGCTTGCTCGTTTGCCATCTTATGTTATAAAAAAAAATTCTCTCGTAAAGCTTTTCACGCTCAATTTTTCCATACTGTTTTTAGTCTGGTTTCATTTTTTTTTTATCTTTTTCGTTTATGTGGCCACCATCTCTCATAGCATAGTGGACATGCCACGTTACTTTTGCTTCTTGATTTCTTCATCACTAGCGTCCTACTATCAAACTTTTAATACTCATGCTTAATCACATATATCTCGTCTTAAAAAAATATGCTGATAATAGAAATTAAAAAATCAACCACATTTTACTACTTAATAAACTAAAGACATGATTGTTTATACAATAACGCTGTAATTTAATTTTACGGTGTCTGCAGCAGGAGCTCAACCGCATATATAATTAGATTTTTTATTACCAGCTTCCTAATGGATTGTTCAATTACAAATTTTTAGTACGCTTTTATTACTTGTATATAAATTTATCGACCTTTTATTGACTACAAAATGTCAGATTACATTGTAATTTATGCTCTTCATTTATACCTATGGAATATCCTCATTCCTTCGAGAACTATTACAAAAAAATGCATTTATGCGCACGGCATTATCTCCAGCTTATATGATGACAATGAAATAAAGTCATGTAATTTTGAATGATGATTCATCAAATTTCAATCAATTACACCTCATTTTTTTTTTAATTTCAAACTTTAATGTTGTAAGATATACTCTTTTTACGTTTAAACTCTGCATATTCTAAGACGAAATGCCTTAATATGAAAATATGTGCTTAACGCAAAGGCGACGCTAGCTGATGATTTAAGCTAGGATTAGGCTAGTAGCTACCATTATTTTAGTTCTATTGGATGTTGTTTTACATGTATTTTACAATTTTCGATCCTCTTTCCTTTAACTTTTAAAAGGTATAGCTTCAAAATAAACCAGATAATGTTTATTATAACTTAGTTAGTAACCTGAAAATAAACTTCAAGATTACCAAACATGTATGGAAATATTATATTATAACAACAAATAATTAAACTTGTTCCAAAGCGTCCGTTATCATAATTATTCGGTTTCGTAATATAAACTTGACTTTCATTGCTGCGAAGTTTGCGGGTGAGCTCGTAAACTGGTGTAAACGACTGGAAATTTTTAAGTTCCTAAATGCGGTTGGCCGCGGAAAATTATGTTTTAACGCTTCCACGTGCACGTGATTTGTCTGCGGTGTTTATATTACCGTTGTATTAATTAAACAAACAAAACTACATGGTGGTATAGTCTTAGACGTAACACTGTGTGAAGCGTTGCTTAAAAGAATTACAATTTTTTACCATAAAAAATTATTGAATACACTACCCGGGTCATCAAATTATGAAAGACAACAAAAAAAAAATGAAATTCTCAGAGTTTAATATAAAGAAGAAGAAGATAATAAAGTACTTTAAAAATATTGAAAGTATTAAAATATTGATTGAAATATAAATTGAAAAATAAAGCCATAACAGTAGTATCAATAAATCGTCAGGGGAGCAGCAATTATCCCGGACAGGTCTTTGCACATAAATATTCATCTTGCCGACTGGCTGAACGGAATTGGAGGCATTCCTAGAAATCCGCAGCGCGATCCATCGCCCTTACAATTGATTGATCTTAATTAAATCGATTCGGTTGATTGTCTCTTACCATTCCGATGATACGATGTGATCAAGGTGAATATGGAATGCAATCAAACATTTGTAATGTTATTAATTACCTCCTTTGTTATATTGGTCGTAGAATGTGTTATTACTAGGACCCACTGTTTCCATGTCAACTACGGTCGATACAAGACCCACAGCTTAGGTTAGTACCGGAAAAGATCTGAGTGATTACTAAAAGCCATTCGATTATCTCAAATCGAATAGAAAAGAGAATTTGCGGTGGAAGTCTTATTACAGGAGAAACTGATCTAAGGATTTGATACACGTTAATCCTAAACATTAGATTTATAGTTTCATCTGCCTGCAGCAAACAACGCAATACCACTACCATTTCCTTTCGTTCCGATGGTGGAATGGCGCTACAGACTGTTAAAATCGTTGAAATAACAGACTCAACGTTGAGCACGTTTAACGCAAGTACGATGTTTGGGAATATCTGAACATTCTACAAAGATCCCTAGTGTTACAGTTTTATGGGTTATTTTTCACAGGTAAAAGAATAATTTCTTGTGTATTTTAACGGTTTGTTAGCAGAGATTTGCATTTTAATTGAGACTTATTGCTCGCGACTGAATCCGCGTCAAATTAAAAAATAATTTAAAAAATAGCCTATGCTACTCACTGATAACGTACCTTTTCAATGGTGCAATGATTTTTGAAATCGATCAAATAATATTGAGTTATTTTAATACATACATAACAAAAATACAAATCATTTTACAGTATTTGTGTAGATGTAGTAAGTGTGTTCTACGGCTTTTTTATTTTAATCCTCCTATAGTATTCCTATAGTATAGTTCTACATTATTTTCTTCATTTTCCATCATCATCATCTCCCCTATCTTATCCTATTCCTGTAGGATTCTCTTCATTTTCCATGGTTACATAAATGTAATTGATAGACTATCTTTGTTTATGTGCCATTCGTTTAATTTTCATGAGATTCAGCCATTACGTATCAAAATCTGAAGGCAACAGTGGCGGCCTCGTGCGTGCTGTCAAGAGCGTACTTTAGGGGAGGATTCCCCCGCGTTATAAATTGGCCCGCTATCTAAATCTGCGAGATAAGTGTGTTTGAACTTTCCAATTTCGGTACACATCAATAACACTGACAACTTCAGTCGGGGGGCAACAAATCAAATATCTAAGTATTATTGTACGCAGTGACAAATGGAAACAGGTCGTTTTGTTTTTTCTTTTTATGTCAAAGCCCACCAATTTACGTGGAACGTGTGTAGAATACTTGATTCGTTAGAATTGTAAGGTTTCCGTGACAATCTTTCGTTATTTATGTTTTCGATATTTTACAATATTACAGCAAAGATATACTATTCTGGATCTAGGAAATAAAAGAATAATAAATGTTACTCTCATATTATTGCAATTAAACAAACACATTGGTAGACAACAATTTCATTTTTAAATTATCGTACATTACAATATATAAGATATGTATATATTTAATTTTAGTTGATTTACACGTAGATGGTTAGTATGAATGGATAATTCAGGTTAACTTTGACAAAACATCGAGCGACGCTGGAATTCGGAACGAGGCGCGGACGCTCGCTATGAAATGCTGTTCATTCCGATAATGGCGACGGCGACGAGATGAATTATGAACTTGTACCAAAGCGAATTGCTGTCCAAGTGAAATAGATAAGATAACATAGTTTCATTTACAGGCTGTATCTTTTTCAAATTACGCATTACTAGCTTTCGCCTGCGAACCCGTTTGCGCGGAATTAAAACAAAAACAGATGTGAGCGTATGTGATCTTCCCTTTTTCGTAGGGTAATACTGGCTTTAATAATTATTAACATATGAAATGAATACAGATTTTCTAAAAGATTCTATCATCTACTCATGGTTGTAGAAGTATATTAAATTGTAGCATATTGTTGTTTTTGAACTTAAATCACTAAGGGCCTGTCCCTCCAAATTATAAATTGTTTAAACAATATAACTTGTAAAATATATGATGGAAATATCGGATTTTGTTACCTTATCTGACAGTGACGTCATTTTTTAACTATCTCAGCCTCTATCAGCCTGTGGTGGTAACGGCCCTAAAACTTGTAGATAAAGTAAGAAAAAGGCTGCAATTATTAAGTAAGACCAAATATTCTGTTAATGTTTGTAATTAAATATGTTTTATTGTCTTCTTTTAAAAGCTAAGGTAGTAAAACCGTGGTTAATGAAATCTGGTAAGGAGTTTCATCTCCCCTTCTTTAATCTTGCAAGGGAACACAGCTCAGTTGTCTGAATCCACACAAATGTACCGTGAAATGGAATAAGATATAAGCATAACTGTTCATTTATTAGATAATGAAGGTAATCAATTAGCAGAGAACTGTAAATGGCCTGCAACCATCATCATTCCAATGGCCCAATGATCCGCAACGTCGAACTATTACACACCGTGAATACATCAGTTCAATACACTATTCAGCTAAAATACTCTAAAGTTTGAATAAGTATTACGTATTTTACTTTTATAACTACGATGAATAGATTGGTTATTTTTCAAAGAGACATAAGAATCAATTTGATGGATTTCGTGATTAATATAGTCAAAATCAAAATAAAAACAGTCATGTTTGTTCCAGCAATTTTACGATTATTATAGCGCCTGTCAAAATATTATCAGCAACTGATCTGTTCCAACAAAACCATAACTTTATGTTTGTTTAAGATTTTCTAAATAATAAAATACAATTATTTTCAATCATAAAATTGTC